ATAGATAGATAGATAGATAGATAGATAGATAGATAGATAGATAGATAGATAGAGCCCTTACCAGACAATCATTCCACATGCAGGCTGCATGGTGTCTAATTTGAGTAACGTTACGCCGCTTCGTTCTAGTGAGTGTATTGGTGCCATAACCTACACTACAGGTCTTCTTGTGACTCCTTAACAGCGACTAATTTACTTTTTTAATACTTAATTGAGTAACTTGCAACAAAAAACATCACATTTACCTCGTATCAAAAAGAGACTGCGCTTTGCGAAATGCCAAGCAGTCGTGCTAGCCAATCATAAAAAGCGTTCTTAAAAGATTGACGTTTCTTTTGACCAATAATTGTCCGTGACACTGCTGGAGTTTCGGTTATGCTGCAGTTTGGACCAATCAGAGGGCGTTTCTTTTATGGAGGGAGGTGCTTTCATTGGTCCGCGCTAGAGCGGCGTTAGATTTAATGCGTCACTGCGAAGGGGGAGTACGGCAGGAACAGGTCGGTAGATACATTTCCTGATACAAAAATCCCTTTATCATTGTTTTTACGCAAGTAACCAGTATGTTCTTGTGTCAAACAGTTTCACAATCCTAAATTATTGAGGTACTTTTTCGTGCACACGGTCGCAATTTGCATTATGTGTTCTTGCGATAGCTAAGTTAGCTTCATCTCTGTTAGCTAAAGGAAACTAGCAACCTTAATCATTTAACGTTACTATAATTTCCACAGTTGCTATAAGAAGTGTTTTTCTTTTATTTGTTCTACTCCTTTTACTATATATATATATATATATTTTTTTTTTTTTTTTTACCACGAGGCGTAATAAATACGAGTATTCTTGATGATAAAATGTACTTTATGGTAGTTAGCTAGCTCGTTAGCTTCCTGAAACTCTATTGTTAATTAGCCAGTCAGGCAGCTGATCCAGTAACGTTACAGGAAGATGGCGACTAACAAATTCATTTTACAGTAATCAAACACAGCGAGCTTCATCGTTAGAAATCATTTGGCGAATAGTTTGTGCATCACAGGCGAGTTTGAACATTCATATGCCCTTGTGGTGCACACAGTGCTGTCTAGGTAGGCATCCTAATAGGGTTTGAGACACAACGCAAGTGTAGGTTTGTTTTCCAATACTTTACCAGGCAGTAAATAGTTGAGTTGAATATTTATTGTAGCTGCATTTCAGTACATTGTTGGAGAACACCTACCAGAACATTTCGTTTTAGTTTTGTATAACTCATGATATAGTTGTTTTTAATTTTTCCTCCTCCTGTGTTTTGCCCCAATCATGCTCAGCAGACAAAGAGCACTCTTCATTCTGATAAGCTTGGGACTAGCATCCTATTAGGCCATATAATATTTTCATTCATGCACTATGTGGATTTTCCCTTAGGCATCCGTTTGGACAGACAGGGCTGTTCATCTCCGCTTGTAGATAGATAATGGATCTCGAAAATGACCCACAGGAAGAGGAAACTTTCAGCAACAAAGAGAGTAATGGTAAGAGCCAGTGATATATTTTACTTTATTTTAAAGGCAACATAAAAATCAAAATGGAACCAATGTTATTAGGGCCTTTCGCACCGCGGGAACCTTTTCATAGTACCAGAACTAATTGTGGAACTACCCACTTTTTGGCGTTTTCGCACCGCCGGAACTGGGTGCGATTTTAGTACCGGACTGCCTTTTTCGAGAACCAAATTAGCTCCTACTCCAGAGCAGGGTCTAACCAGCACAACTGGTACTAATCGTGACACATGTAGACATTGATTGGCCAAACGCGTACGAAAACGCCCTCACCCGCCATTATTTAAAACGCCGTGTAAACATACTGTAAACATTGTGTCAACTTATTTCACAAGTATGGAGAACAGCGATAGATGGACGGACGCTGAAGTGCAGGCACTTGTAGCAAATGTAGCACTGCCAGTTGTCGTTGGAGATTCTTAGTCCTCCTTTCCGTTCTTTCAATCGCTTTACGTATACGTCGACTTTCCATGTCCATTATTGTGAAACCCGCGAGACACAACAAAAACACAGCTCCGATCACAGCGTCCTCCATCCTCCTGTTGTTAATGTTGTTCTTCTTTGTTTCTGTTGTTGAACGCCGCGCACAAATGACGACGCTGTCGACCGGCTTACGTCACTTCTTAGTACACACTCGGTGCGAATGCAACCCGTTAAATTGTACTGGGAAATAGTTAGCACAAAATCGTCCCAGCACTTTAGTACTGTACATTTAGTTCTGGAACTAAAGCGGTGCGAAAGGCCCTATTATGCATAGTTTTTCCCAAAAAAAAAAAAAATCGTCATTTTGTTTCACTGTAACTTTTCCATGTAAAATGGATTTCAGGTAAGCGTTCCGCTGAGGATATGGAGGAGGACAAGCCTCATAAGCGCTCCCGAAGTTCTGACGACATGGTGGAGCTTCGGATTCTGCTACAGAGCAAAGTAATTGGCTGATTTTCCCATCACTTTTGAGTTTAGTTTCTCTTGCTGTCCCTCAATGCTGATCGACTCTTCTCTCCAGAATGCCGGAGCGGTGATCGGAAAGGGTGGGAAGAATATTAAAGCTCTGCGCACAGATGTGAGTACTCTTCCGTTTAGTTTGCACATTCTCACTCTCATTACAAATATTGCGGGAAAAGAGAACATCAATGCGGAGAAGATCTTGCTTGCGTCAAAACTGAAACCAAGCCATTCACAATTTGGAATTTCGTGCATTTTCTAGAGGGACATCTATCACCGTTGCACTCGCGTCTCGCACAAAAGAGCTGCATGTTTAGCTCTGTTACTGCCAATATCAGAACTGTTTTAACATCCTTAATGTACAAACTACTCCCTTACTGCCATGAAACATGAGTATGATGCTGCCATGACTATCATTATTAACTGTTTTACTGTGTTCAAATGCCTTTTCTGTCATGCAAGGAGGCCCTTTCCCACCCTTTTCCCTCTCCTACGACAAACGCTTTTTTTGTACCTTTGGGAAATGTGCTTTCTCCACAGTTCTCGTTTGAAAGTTTTCTTGCTAATACAAGGATTAATTTGTTGAGGGTGAAGGGGCAGTGTAAATTACATGTCTCCCTTCTGTCCGTTGTATTATTTCACTGTTGTGTTTGACTTTGGAACTTTACTCCACTCCCAGTCTGTTCGTCTGTCTCTGCTCTTCTCTGCTGGATCTGGAGCTCCTGCTTTGTTCATGTGTATCTCTCTCTCTGTACTTTGTCACCCCTCTATCAGTTTTAATCTCCCCCTGTCACACTGCAACTCTGACCTTCCCTGTATCTTGACATTTCTGCAACGGGCAGGAGCTTCAGTTTTTTTTTCTTTGTTTTCCTGTGTTCTCCACTCCCCTTTGACAAAGGAGTGCATGACTCCATGACTCTTTAGGGTCTGTCTCCTCTCCGCACTGTTAAATGCACTAACAAAAGCACTGATTGTACTCTTCGGGCTGTATGTATTGCTAATATCGCTTCTCTTCTCTCTTCTCGTGGAATGCAATTCATTACTTTGACAGAATCCTAAGCGTCAGTGCCGATATTCCCACGGTGGCTGAGATATTACTGAAGGTCATACCTACTCTGGAAGAGGTGAGTTTTTTTTTTTTTTTTCCCACAATTCAACAAAAATGATTTTTTTTTTCAGTTTGTTCAGCATTGAAGTTTAACTTTTTGAATTACATTTATTAAACATGAATTGATATAAAAAAACCTGGTAACACTTTAATTTAGGGACCAATTCTCACTATTAACTAGTTACTTATTAGCATGCCTATTATTAACTCGATGCGCCCTCTTGTGGCCTCAGGAGAGAATCCAAAAGCTTTTCTTCACCCTAACTGAAATGATGCCTTTTAAATTCGAAAATAATTCGAATTTTGATAATATTTTAAGTACAAAATTCGAATTTAGGCGCCTTTGATATTATTTTCATCTAAACCACTAGATGGCACAAAAACGTGGCGTAGCACTTTCCAAAACATCCGCATTTCAAGATGCACGTGTATTTTTGTCTGATCCTTGACACGATCGCGTGCAGCAGTGCAAAGTTGATTCTGTGCTTACTTGATCTAATATTTGATGTTTTTTTTAAATGTTGTAGATTTAAGTAGCAAATGAGAATCGCTAAAATTAATGCATATATTTTGATAC